ATTTCCAGAGTTAAAGTTTTTAGAAAAAGTGAAAATGTGAAAATGTAGTTCTCGATGGTTTCGGGGACGCTCTTTTCGAATTTGTAGTCAGAAAAAATCTAACTCAAAAATTGACGTTTCTTTTCAAAAAAAGTACAGTTTTTCTGAAAGTTTTCGGATTTTTTGTTAAAGCTGTCGAAAACTAATGTGAATGTAGTGTATTTTGCACTAATTAGTTTGGAGTCGCTCAATGCTATTTTCTCAAAAACAGCTCAAGACCAAATGTCAAGGTCACATTTTTTAAATTTCGAATGAAAAAAATTAAATTATTTTCGATTACCTATACCTACATATAACATATTTGGGTGAAATAAAACTATAAGTAAAGTTACAGTACCTTACCAAATTTTTAAATTTTTGCTTATAAATTGAAAATTCTAAAAACGAAACGAATCGTACGATTTTCTTAAAATTTTAGTATGTTGTATAAGTGGTCAAGTAGAGAAAAAAAGTTCATATAATGTTCGCCGTCAGACCCACCATTCGGGTGGTACAGACGAAAAAGGGAAAATTCTTTTAAGTTTTCTCTGTTATTTGAGGAGATAGAAAGGTGAACTCTTTTTTATTCTAAAGCGGTAATAGAGAGCTATGGTACTAAACATTTTTTACGATTATTTTGTAAGTCACTAGTGGTGGTAGCTGATAATTTTACATAACTACGGGAGGTGAAAATATGTGCTATCAAACTCAGATGTGTAATTTCGAAAAATGTAATAAAAAAATAAGCGACTTAAAAAAAAGAGGTTATTTTCCTCTTATGTGTTGTTTCCTCTTTTGTCTCGAATTCTATTTTATCATACACTTACCTTTAGAAAGTACCATAATACTAGAATTTATTCCTTATATTTTTATTAAAATATTACTAAGTTTGCCTTAAATTTCTAATAATAGTAGTTTCTAGTCAAATTTTCATTAACAAACCTATTTAAAATGAAACACATTAAAATTTGAATGTATTTTTTATTGACATTATTATACAATGATATTTAAAATTAAAATGCGGTGGCAGTTGTGGTTACAGCACTGGTGGCGGCAGCAAACCCCTTGAATATTAAAATTGTTAAACATTTGTAAATAAACGAAAAAATTAAAAAATGCTTCTATTTATTAATTGTTGACAATCTAATTCTTTCCTTCTGTCTCCACTCCCTCCTTTGTGCTTTTGTCATCAGTGGTGGTATGTCCCGTATAACATTCAAATTTTCTATATTTGGTTTATAAGTGAGATAATTGTCACTATCCCAATCTAAAATAATGAAAAAACTGTAATTTCCTTATCAATGTAGTAAGTAAAACATACTTTCGGTCTCGGAGTCCTGAACGTAGGTGGGTGAATCGAAATTTTCAGCTGAAATATAAAATCTTCATATATTTAAAAATGTTAAGAGTATAAATCAAATAATATTATTATTATTCGTACAACAAAAGTAATTAATAATAAAGTTTTTTAATACGTACGTCTAGATAACGAAATAATAAACTCACTCTCTTGTTCAGAGTTTTTAGAAGCTCCGGGATTGGAAGAATTCCAATTTTCAATCGGATCTAAAATAATAATTAACAAAAGTTGCAATTAATTTTTAACACACAAATTAAAATAATTATAAACAATATTTAATACATAGATATACTTACTCTTTCAATTCCGCCTGCTTTTTACATTTTAACACATTGGCTGCCCAAAACGCCCGAGGGCCGTTCACGTGACTTTTCCCGCCGTGCCCCCACCGCCCGAGAGGCGTTCTCGTATAGGGAAAATTATAAGGTACATAGAATTGCCGGGCCAGTTGGGATTCGATCATTGTCGCGTCTGGGCACAGAGTAAAGATTGAGGTTAGCATGTGTATTGTTGGTTGCTGAAAATAGTGCAGATTTATTACGTAGTGATTGCATTGATTGTTTTTATTATTTGCAAGTGTTAAGGGTAAGTGTAATAACGTTTGGTTATATTGTTTCAAATGAAAAGTAGTGAAAAGTGAAATGAAGGAATATTTTTTGAAAAATGCGTAATGTAAAGTCCTGAGGTGGGTGATGTGTACTCGGTACCATGTGTCCGCCCCAGGGGCGTTGTCGGGCAACGAGCCGCGTGCCATGTAGAATTTTATTTTATGTTTACAGATGCTCGGAACCATCGAAAAGAGCTAAATATGAAAACAGGAGGACGAGGCAGACCCTTTCGAAAATCAGTCCGACGATGATCCTGATTTTGTCAATCCTAGTGATATTAGTGAGTCTGAAGAAGAAGATACTGCATCAGTGCCTTTATCTCCATCTTCTCCCATGGCTGCGCCACAATCCTCATCGCCATCTTCCCAAAATCATGCAGCGGCACTTGTATTTACTTACGATGAGGTTCCAAGTCAAATTGTTTTCTTTACGAAGAAGACAGGTTTGCTTGCGAATACGAACAACGCAACAGAGCCCATAGACTATTTTAATCTTCTGGCGACCGATGAGTTTGTTGATGAACTCTGTACAAAAGCTAACAGTCATGTAGTGGACCTAATTGCATTGAGCTCTGGGGAAGAACCAAGAATTGCGCGATGAAGGGATGTGCAACCTGTTGAAATGAGAAAGGTTTTGGGACTACTCTTTCATATGGGAATAATTAAACTAAACAGATTGAATGATTATTGGAAAAAACATTATATGTTTAATTTACAATGTTTTTCGCAGTTCATGAGTCGAAATCGTTTTCTGCTCATTATAAGATCTTTACACTTTGAAAATCGAGAAGATGAGCCTCGCACTCAAATTGGAAAAATCATGCCTCTAATAAATTTTTTCAACAATAAAATGGACGAAATTTATTATCCATCAAGGGAATTGTCGATTGACGAGTCCATGGTGCTGTGGCGAGGGCGATTGAAATTTCGGCAATACATACAAGGGAAGAGGCACAAATTTGGCATAAAATTGTATTCTCTTTGTGAACATGGTATTGCAATTAAAATAATTGTCTATACAGGATCAGCGGATCCTGAGTTATCGGGAACAAAATATACAGAGAAAACTGTTCTAGTCCTCTTAAAAGGCAAATTAGATCAAGGTCATTCCATTTATATGGATAATTATTATAATAGTGTGAGTCTGACTAAACAATTACTGACGAAGAAAACCTATGTTACAGGAACCTTGAGATCGAATAGAAAAAATAATCCTACAGAAGTGGTAAAAAAGAAGTTGAAAAAAGGGGAGCAAATTGTTCAATATACTTCGCAAGGAATATGTGTTACAAAGTGGAAATATCGACGAGACATTTTAGCGATCTCCAGTGAATATAATGCACAGATGGAATTTGATACTACCCAGCAAGAAAAACAAAAACCTAACCTCATAAGTAGATATAATCAGTTCATGGCAGATGTTGATCACTGCGATCAAATGATGTCGTATTATTCATGTGAACATAAGACATTACTATGGTACAAAAAATTGGCACTCCATATCTTTCAAATTATGTTGCTCAATTCATACCACCTATATAAGCAAGGAAATACTAATAACGAAAAACGCTATAATGATTATCGATTATCTGTGATTGAAAAGCTTCTTGGGCCTCCACAAGCAGATCCATTGCCAAAAATTAAGATTACTCACCTTCCTGAGCTTTGCCCTAAAGGTGAAGGAGCTAGTACCCGAGTCAAACGAAGGAGATGTAAAGTTTGCTGGGAAGGCGAAAAAATTAGAAAAGATTCTATTTATTATTGTCCCTTGTGTCCCGACCAACCTGAATTTTCCTAAAAAACGCCCTAGGGGCGGTTCCGGGTACCTGAACGACACCGAGCACTGGCCGGTGCCCGGACCGCCTAGGGCGTTTTTTGTTTTTTGGAAAAAAAGTGATATTTTACCTTAATATAGAGCTATCTAACCACTACTGGACACCATCATAAAATATAAAAAAAAAAGTAGGTGGCAGCAGACACTTGAATGATATTTTGTCGGGCAGCGAATGTGTTAAGATATGATGCCCCATCCGTGTACGTTTCACTAGGTAAGTTTTTACAAAAGGACACTCTGTCAAGTCAGTATTCATTTTGTTAACTATTCGACAATGATTATTTTACAACAGTTTATATAATGCAGAAACTAATTATTNTCTAGTCCTCTTAAAAGGCAAATTAGATCAAGGTCATTCCATTTATATGGATAATTATTATAATAGTGTGAGTCTGACTAAACAATTACTGACGAAGAAAACCTATGTTACAGGAACCTTGAGATCGAATAGAAAAAATAATCCTACAGAAGTGGTAAAAAAGAAGTTGAAAAAAGGGGAGCAAATTGTTCAATATACTTCGCAAGGAATATGTGTTACAAAGTGGAAATATCGACGAGACATTTTAGCGATCTCCAGTGAATATAATGCACAGATGGAATTTGATACTACCCAGCAAGAAAAACAAAAACCTAACCTCATAAGTAGATATAATCAGTTCATGGCAGATGTTGATCACTGCGATCAAATGATGTCGTATTATTCATGTGAACATAAGACATTACTATGGTACAAAAAATTGGCACTCCATATCTTTCAAATTATGTTGCTCAATTCATACCACCTATATAAGCAAGGAAATACTAATAACGAAAAACGCTATAATGATTATCGATTATCTGTGATTGAAAAGCTTCTTGGGCCTCCACAAGCAGATCCATTGCCAAAAATTAAGATTACTCACCTTCCTGAGCTTTGCCCTAAAGGTGAAGGAGCTAGTACCCGAGTCAAACGAAGGAGATGTAAAGTTTGCTGGGAAGGCGAAAAAATTAGAAAAGATTCTATTTATTATTGTCCCTTGTGTCCCGACCAACCTGAATTTTCCTAAAAAACGCCCTAGGGGCGGTTCCGGGTACCTGAACGACACCGAGCACTGGCCGGTGCCCGGACCGCCTAGGGCGTTTTTTGTTTTTTGGAAAAAAAGTGATATTTTACCTTAATATAGAGCTATCTAACCACTACTGGACACCATCATAAAATATAAAAAAAAAAGTAGGTGGCAGCAGACACTTGAATGATATTTTGTCGGGCAGCGAATGTGTTAAGATATGATGCCCCATCCGTGTACGTTTCACTAGGTAAGTTTTTACAAAAGGACACTCTGTCAAGTCAGTATTCATTTTGTTAACTATTCGACAATGATTATTTTACAACAGTTTATATAATGCAGAAACTAATTTTTGATTCCCATCTCTACTGCAACCATTGTACAATGTAGTTTGCTCGAGAGCATTGAGACCACATTCCATACATATTTCTATGTCTGCAAAAGCAACTTGCAGCGAAACAAAGAAACCGGTCTTGTAGCACCTGGCGATGCAGTTTATCGATGCAACATTCCATTCAAACAAAGAAACAGGTAAAGTAGCGTGGGTTACCACCTCCAATTGTTAGTCGGCGTGGATACAAGTTCCACATTGCCTGTTAGTATAAATATCATACCCCGCCTTTGCTGCTCAGTTTATATCTACAAGTTTACGCAGTGCAAACAATGGCAGACAATTCAAAAAACGTTTTAAGTTTGAAACATCGCGATAGTGATGACGAGTTGATCGACGATGAATGGGTGCCATCGTTCGATAGGAGAGTGGACCAAAATTTTATTACCAACCGGGCCAACCAAGCAGTGCAGGAAATTATTATTTTGAGCGACACAGTTTCATCCGACAGAACCATACGCCAGGAAATATCTTCGTTGCAAACATCCATCGTCGAGGGGCCTTTGGCATCATCTCCGCAGAAAAAGCGTGCTGGGAGCCCGATTTTAGCGTCCAGCAGCACTTCGGTGGTACGCTCTAGCGACGAGGGACCTTCGGCAGTATCTCCTCCGAAAAAGCGTGCTACGACCCCGATCTTGGCATCTAGCAACACTTCGGTGGAACGCTCCGTCAACGAGGGAACTTTGCCCAACGATTACATCAACTCCAAGACGAAATGACGGGCTGGATATGTTGTTGAGTCGATACGGGCGAAAGCGGCCCTACAACACATCCAGCTTGAAGAATTAAAAAACGTCTGGTACGGCGATTTTAAACAGTGCGTGAGGTGAAAAGAAGCCGAGTTTATTAACGAGGTGAGATTTAGAAGACAAACAGCTATGCAAAATTTAGATAAAATTTACGACTATCGTAAAGTACTGGATGAAATCGCCGAGAAGTTGACGGTAGATATTAACCATATGAATGCCACCATGGCATATATGGATGGTTTTGCGGAAGGGTTACCAGAGAAGATGTTCAACTTACCAGGTAAGGCGAATAAGTAAATTTTAGATATATAATTAAACTTAATTATCAATGATTCATTCATTTTTAATTGTTAAAAGAAAAATTGAACTCTATATATGTAAATTTAAAAGTCATATTTTGATGAATTTTTGGTAGTAATTGCTTTTGTATATNCACTTCAGTGGTACGCTCCAGCGACGAGGAACCTTCGGCAGCATCTACTCCGAAAAAGCGTGCTACGACTCCGATTTTGGCATCTAGCAGCACTTCAGTGGAACACTCCGTCAACGAGGGAACTTCGCCACAATTCCCAAAAAATCGTGTTGAAATCTTGGCGTCCAGCAGCACATCGATGGGACGCCCCGTCGACGATGAAGGACCAACCTTCCGCCCAACGATCACATCAACTCCAAGACGAAATGACGGGCTGGATATGTTGTTGAGTCGATACGGGCGAAAGCGGCCCTACAACACATCCAGCTTGAAGAATTTAAAAACGTCTGGTACGGCGATTTTAAATAGTACGTGAGGCGAAACGAAGCCGAGTTTATTAACGAGGTGAGATTTAGAAGACAAACAGCTATGCAAAATTTAGATAAAATTAACGACTATCACAAAGTACTGGATGAAATCGCCGAGTATTAACCATATGAATGCCACCATGGCATACATGGATGGTTTTGCGAAAATGTTACCAGAGGAGATGTTCAACTTACCAGGTAAGGCGAATAAGTAAATTTTAGATAGATAATCAAACTTAATTATCAATGATTCATTCATTTTTAATCGTTAAAAGTAAAATTGAACTCTATATAAATTTAAAAGTCATATTTTGATAAATTTTTGATAGTAATTGCTTTTATATGTGTATAGTTTTGTATGTATATGTATATTTTTAAATTTATTTATTTCTGTTACAGATGCTCCTCGATCCCGCCCCCCTCGGATTGACTGAACGTGATAGACTTTTTAATGTTAGTGTTAGTTTAAATTTAATATACGTTGCAAACATCCATCGTCGAGGGGCCTTTGGCAGCATCTCCGCAGAAAAAGCGTGCTGGGAGCCCGATTTTAGCGTCCAGCAGCACTTCAGTGGTACGCTCCAGCGACGAGGAACCTTCGGCAGCATCTACTCCGAAAAAGCGTGCTACGACTCCGATTTTGGCATCTAGCAGCACTTCAGTGGAACGCTCCGTCAACGAGGGAACTTCGCCACAATTCCCAAAAAATCGTGTTGAAATCTTGACGTCCAGCAGCACATCGATGGGACGCCCCGTCGACGATGAAGGTCCAACCTTCCGCCCAACGATCACATCAACTCCAAGACAAAATCGTATTGATATCTTGGCCTCCAGCAGCACATCGACGGGACGCCCCGTCGACGATGAGGGTCCAACCTTCCGCCCAACGATCACATCAATTCTAAGATGAAATGACGGGCTGGATGATGTTGTTGAGTCGATAAGGGCGAAAGCGGCCCTACAACACATCCAGCTTGAAGAGTTCAAAAACATCTGGTACGGCGATTTTAAACAGTACGTGAGGCGAAAAGAAGCCGAGTTTATTAATGAGGTGAGATTTAGAAGACAAACAGCTATGCAAAATTTAGAGAAAATTAACGAATATCGCAAAGTACTGGATGAAATCGCCGAGGAGTTGACGGTAGACATTAACAATATGAATGCCACCATGGCATATATGGATGGTTTTGCGGAAGGGTTACCAGAGAAGATGTTCAACTTACCGAGTAAGGCGAATAAATAAATTTTAGATAGATAATCAAACTTAATTATCAATAATTCATTCATTTTTAATTGTTAAAAGAAAAATTGAACTCTATATAAATTTAAAAGTCATATTTTGATAAATTTTTGATAGTAATTGCTTTTATATGTGTATAGTTTTGTATGTATTTAAATTTATTTATTTCTGTTACAGATGCTCCTCGACCCCGACCTCCCTCGGATTGACTGAACGTGATAGACTTTTTAATGTTAGTGTTAGTTTAAATTTAATATAGTTTTGTAAATATGTATATATCTGTATTATAAGTAAATTATTAAAATATCTGATTACCATTTACTTTCTTTTATTAACACATAATTTGGGTGCTTAAAAAGTTTAACAAAATAATTCACTAGTAAAAAGAACAATGTATTTTCATTGTTTATATATGACAACGTTCAGTAAAGAATTAAATTACAGGTGATTTTATAAAGGATTTATTAAAAGTGATAAGACTTTTAGTTTTAATTTAAATTTAATTTAACTAATTTGGTAAATTTCTGTATATACCTGTATTATAAGCAAATTATTAAAATATCTGATTACCATTTACTTTCTTTTATTAACGAATAACTTAGATACTTAAAAAAGTTTAATAAAATAATCTACTAGCAAAAAAGAACAATGTATTTTCATAACTTGTATGTGACAATGTTCAGTGAAGAAATTTACAGGTGATTTTATAAAGGATTTTTTTAAAATGATAGCTTATATAGCCTACTTTGCATTTATAA